AGTCCACAGGATGTCTGTATAAATGATATCTCCGCTCTTGAAGAAGATGAGATCTTGCAGACAGTAAAAGCAGAGCAGACGAGACCATTCGACCTTACTACAGAGCCAGGTTGGAGGGTCTGCTTGTTCCGGATCGCTAAAGACGATCATATCCTATCTATCGTCATGCATCACGTCGCATCTGATGGCTGGTCAGCAGATGTACTTCGCAGCGAGCTCGACAACTTCTACGCTATGGCGTTAGCTGGGGAGAAAGATCCGCTATCACAAATCGCCCCACTACCTGTGCAGTACCGCGACTTCGCGGTATGGCAGAAGCAACCTGAGCAGCTGGCTGAGCAGCAGAGGCAGCTCGAGTACTGGACAACGCAACTCGCCGATAGCGCTCCAGCTGAGCTTCTATGTGATCGACCGAGACCTGAAGTATTGTCGGGCGAGGCTGGCGCTGTCAATGTTACAATCGCTGGGTCGCTCTACGATAGTCTACAGGCATACTGTCGCGCTCAGAACGTCACTCCTTTTGTTGTCCTACTAGCCGCCTTCCGAGCTACACACTATCGGCTGACTGGGGCTGAGGACGCCACCATCGGCACACCGACCGCCAACAGGAATCGACCAGAGCTCGAGAATCTAATCGGCTTCTTTGTTAATACACAGTGTATGCGGATCACCATCACTGACGATATATTTGATGATCTAGTACAACAAGTGCGCAATACAGCGACAGCAGCATTCGCAAACCAAGACGTACCCTTTGAGCAGATTGTCTCAGCGCTCCTACCTGGATCACGAGATGTATCACGCAATCCCCTTGTACAGCTCATGTTCGCCGTCCATTCGCAGCGAGACCTAGGCAAACTTCGTCTAAAGGGCTTACAAGATGAGAGCGTCCCACTTACACCCACGACACGATTTGATGTGGAATTCCACTTATTCCAAGATGACAACCGCCTGACTGGAGGTGTGTTGTATGCGACAGACCTCTTTGATGTCGAGACTATTAACAGCATGCTCGCTGTTTTCAATGAGATCCTCCGTCGAGGCCTGGACAGCCCACAGATTCCAGTCGCTACCCTCCCGTTGACAGAGGGCCTATCGGATCTTCGCAGCCAGGGTCTTCTTGACATAGAGAAGCCAGACTATCCACGCGAGTTGAGCATTGTCGAAGTGTTCCGCGACCAGGTGGCCACTTGTCTTGACGTGACAGCGGTCAAGGACACTTCCACGGAGCTGACTTATGCTGCGCTCGACCGACAGTCCAACAAAGTGGCTATGTGGCTTTGCCAGCGACAGATGCCATCAGAAACTCTAGTTGGCGTGTACGCGCCTCGCTCGTGTGACACAATTGTCGTCCTGCTCGGGATTCTTAAAGCTGGCCTCTCGTATCTACCGCTAGACGTCAATATCCCTGCAGCTCGCATTAAAGATATCTTGTCGGCAGTTGAAGGCCACAAGCTCATCCTTCTTGGTTCTGATACAACTCCCCCGGACGTTGTCCTGCCAGACCTTGAAATAGTCCAGATCAACAAGATTAAAGGACACGCTGTCACTACAACGAAGCTTCCGTCGACTTCCGCTACGAACCTCGCATACGTGATTTTTACCTCTGGCTCAACAGGCAAGCCAAAGGGTGTCATGATTGAACATCGCAGTGTCATCCGACTAGTCAAGAACAGCAACGTAGTCAGCCGGCTCCCCCAAAATGCTCAAATAGCGCACTTGTCCAATCTCGCCTTCGACGCCTCAACATGGGAGATCTACGCCGCGTTGCTCAATGGTGGGACTATCATTTGTATTGACTATTTCACCTCCGTGGATGTTAAAGCACTGAGAACTGTCTTTGCGAAAGAGCACATCTGTGCAACCATGCTTCCCCCAGCCCTGCTCAAACAGGTTCTCGCGATCAGCCCAGATATGCTAAGAGATGTCGATCTTTTGTTCGTTGCAGGAGACCGGCTCGAGGGTCAAGATGCCGTCAAAGCACAGGCACTCGTTCCTGAAGGAGTGTATAACGCTTATGGCCCTACTGAGAACGCCGTCCTTAGCACAATCTACAATATCCGCCAAGGAGACCAGTTTGTCGGTAGCGTGCCGATTGGTCGACCAGTTAGTAACTCGGGGGCTTTTGTCATGGACAGACAACAGCAGCTAGTCTCTGGTGGTGTCATTGGTGAGCTGATTGTGACGGGTGATGGGCTCGCAAGAGGGTACACAGACTCGAAATTGGACGTCAATCGATTTGTGAACGTTAGTCTGGGAGGTAACAGCGTTCGAGCATACCGGACAGGCGATCGGGTCCGAATCCGACCCAAAGACGGCCAGATTGAGTTCCTTGGACGAATGGACTACCAGATCAAGATCCGCGGCCATCGCATCGAGCCTGCTGAAATTGAGCACGCTATCCTGAGGTGCTATGTAGCCGACGATGCGGCCGTTGTAATTAATTGCCAGGAGGGCCAAGAGCCAGAAATGGTCGGTTTTGTCGCCGTGAAGAGCCAGGTTGAGATTGAAATTGAAGAAAACGAAAACGAAAACGAAAACAAGGTAACAGACTGGGCGGACCACTTCGAGTTACGGACATACGAAGACATCGGGACGATTGACTTGTCTACAGTCGGTCGCGATTTTATGGGATGGACGTCTATGTACGACGGAAGCATAATCCCTAAAGTCCAAATGCAAGAGTGGCTTGATGACACCATGCGGACCATCCTGGGCGAACAACCTGCAGGCGACGTTCTCGAAATTGG